TTGTAAGCGTGATATACTGTATTGACCTCTCCCATGAATGCTTACCATGTGCCCAACGGTTGTATATGTGTCCCAACTACTTTGTACATTACAATTGCAGAAAGCACCTTCTGGCTGTGCCTTTAAAAACATGTCAGATCTTCCTTCAGCCTAGTTGCCAAGTCATGGGTTGGAGAAATTGTGGTTTGAGGCAGGTTATGTAAATTTGGCAAAATTCAAAAAGTCTTGCTCAAAGACACAGTTTCAAAACAGGTCGATATCAAAAGACTTACCTGGTTGTTTAATTTCACACTTGATGAATTGGCAGCTACTCCAGAGACCCAATTTAGACACCAACAATTAAAACATAGATTGTCCATTGTATGTCCCCTCACGAACAACATGCCACGTGCCAGCGAGCTTCAAGGTTTCCAAACCACACTTGACACATGGAGGCTTTCTTTTCTGGGGAGCTTCACCACCCAGGAACTCAAGAGGATACTTTAAGGAAAACAAAAAGGGTTGTGGCCAGGACCGAAGTGAGTAATCTACACGTTATGGCAAATTCCCACTGGGCCAAATTCCCACTGTAATATACGATTTTGGGGTTGCTACTCCACCCCTTGGATCTGTTTTGATATCAACAAATTTATTAATTGTTTTTTGTTGTGGTTGTTTGTTTTTTTCAAATATAAAATTTTGAATTTGATGCCTGCAATACATTCCAAAAAAAGGTGGGACAGGGCCATGTTAACCACTGTGTTACATCACCTTTCTTTGTAACAGCACTCAATAAGTGTTTGGGAACGGAGTAAACTAATTGTTGAAGCTTTGTACAGGTAATTTTGTCCCATTCTTGTTAACTTCATAATGCAGGTATGCTAGAACTGCTGGCAGATCAGTCAAGAAGTCGCACTCTGTTACTATGAACCCACACTGTTGCTGTTGTAATACGTGCAGAAGTGACTTTATAGGGGAGGGCATCAAACCAAGATTCAGATTTTAAAATGCGAGAGAGAGAGAGAGAGAGAGAGAGAGAGAGAGAGAGAGAGAGAGAGAGAGAGAGAGAGAGAGAAAAATAATCCAACTCAAAGTGATTTTATCACATGACAGCACAGGACATGGTGAAGAGTAACAGGCAACGAAGAGAAATGTGGAGCAATTGGCAGCACCGAGGCCATGAAAGCAAATCTGCAGGAGACAGCAAGAGGCTGTAGCGTGTTTCTAAAAATTGCAGCTCATAGGTCACTTTGTGTTTCGCACACAGTGTAACATTCAACACCTCCCTACCACTTCTCAAGCACAAGTCAGATGGGACAGAACCACTCTGTAGACACAAGGACACAGAACCTACAGAGTTTTGATGAAATCCTGGCGACTATCACAGAACAAAAATTGTATTTACTGATTAACATTTGAAATTGATTATTTATTTAATTAGTTCATGAAGTTTAGATCTGCTGTATGATGACTTTCGCTGGACATTACAGTTTCTCCCTGGGATTGCCGGCAACCAGTTCAGGGTGTAGACCGCCTACCAGCCGGAGACAGTTAAGATTATGCGATTCAAATGTTGGATAGCTGAATTATGGTTTACCGCCATGTATCGCCTCTTGAACAATCCTGATGTTTTTAGGATGGTTGACCACAAAGTCCAACCAGTGAAAATTAAGTATAATAACAATTGGGCTCGATTGATTAATCTGCCGGCCAATTCAATCGAACATTTTATTTATTTCTTTAGTTTTACACATTAACACATTACAAGACAAAGACATTGACATTCATACATCATCAGCACCCACCTCCCCCAAAAAATCTGTAAAAAAAAAAACAAAACAAACAAAACAGTTGATTCCCCCCCCCCCAGGTTTTCTCTCTCCTGTAAAGTTAAGCAAATACGAAAAAAGTCCAAGATACAAAAAAAATAAAAATAATACAGTCAAACCTGTGATTGGCTGGCAACCAGATCAGGGTGTACCCCACCCACTGCCCCAAGACAGCTGGGATAGGCTCCAGCATGCCCGTGACCCTCGTGAGGAGTGGATTAGAAAATGGATGGATGGAAAATGGTCAAATATTATTTCTGTAATCCATATCTTTATTGTTACAAGCGCTTTTAAAATCGACAAAAATCAGCCTTTTTGTTTTTTTACACACATTTAACTTATTCCAACATAGGACAAAGACTCATAGATCCTCAGCCCCCCCCCCCCCCCCCAAAAAAAACATCAGTAAAAAAAAAACAGCCACTTTTTGCCTGTTTTTCTCTCTAATGTAAAGTTAAACAAATACTAAAACAAAGACTAAAATACTGAAAGCTAAAAGGGTCAAATATTTTACCTGTAATTCATATATTTATTGTTGCAAGCGTTAAGGGTGCAAAAAAATAGCTTTATTCCTATGATATATTTTTATGGGCACTTAATCGGTTATCAGAAATGTATCCTGCCAAATATCAGAATTAGCATCGGTCTAAAATAAAATCCACATGTGGCGGGCCCTAACAACAATGGCTAAATGGATACAATGTACTTTTTTGATTGATTCCATTCCAATTGGGATCAAAATATCTTGGACCAGCATTTCTCAGGTTTGACAATAGAATAACACATTTATTGGCCACTTCATTAGGTATATCTAATTCACTTAACTAACGTGACACAATGCAAGACCTTGATATTTAAAGCAAACGGCCTTCGCAAACACAATGCTCAGTTATAATCGATTTAAGTCTTAATTTGGAAAATTGAGTCGGAAATCTCAGTACGGTAACGCTAATATACTGTATCTGCACATTCAGTGTACACTGATTAAGATAAGAAAAGAAAACCTTTATTTGTCTCACAATGGAGAAATTCGCAAATTATCATTTAGATGTCTAGATTGTCTTAATATTAATAGGAATGAGTGCAGTAATCTCTCCTGTGAACGCACTAAAAGACCTCGCAAGTAGATTATAATGTATGAGAACTTAAGGTACTTTATAAAATATGACAGAAGCGGTACACCCACTTTTCGTCTTACCTCGTCTTCGGAGTCGCTTCTGAAACATAAACACGCCGCTCGTCTTTTAAACCCTTCGCCGTCATACGTCCTTGTCTTGTTGGGCTTAAACTTCATCATGTAAAAATGTTGTTCTCAATGTACAAAATCCAGCAAAATAAAAATGAGGTAGTACGTGGAGCTTCAGTCGTTCGCGAGGCCAGGAGATAATGTTGTCGCAAATCCAAAATGTGGACTTGCTTCTTTCATCTCGAGACTTTTCTCGTCTGCTTGAGACTTCGTGTGGGCGCTCAATGAACATGGAACAGAGGTTCGGTTCCGATGTCACACAAAGCACTAACTCGATCTGAAGTCGGCGGGCTTCTTTTAATAGCTGAATTACGAGCATAGACAAAAATACATAAAATGACACGACTAACAAGTTGAGCAGTTGCAATACGTCTGCGAGTCGGCCATATTGGCTGTGGCAGATCCTAACCAGTAATAAAGCAATGGACTGAGCTCCATAGAACACCTTATATATGGCACAAAGTTAATGCCTCTTATTCATTCACACATTTGGGAAACAAAAAAAAAAAATACCAGTGACTATTACAGTGTCAATAAATATTTATTATTAATGTTAAATATTGTGTCTGAAATAACCCAGAGCCTGAATTACAAGTTTTCTAAATTGCGTGTGTGTGTGTGTGTGTGTGTGTGTGTGTGTGTGTGTGTGTGTGTGTGTGTGTGTGTGTGTATGTCGTTTGTTTGTTTTTGGGGAGTTGGGGGTCTAAATTGTAATTTTCAAACCATTGGTAAGTCTCGATCGAGCAATTTTATGAGGCATCTTCTAGCCACATCCGATGTAGGAGTCAGCGCTCAAAATGGCACGTCAGAAATCTATCTGGCCCCAGTTAGGCCCCTCCAGCATTTTATTTGATATTGTAAAATGTATACATAATTTTCTCAGCCCCTATAGCCCCGGGAGAGAAAAAATGCTGGAGCCCACAACTAAAGAGCTGATGCAAGTACAGCACACCTCACGAGCCGAAGACTTTTCTTGTGCTTCCTTCAAATAGTTTTTATGGAAATGCATTAAAATTAATTATTTATGAGATACTAACAAGTCACACTGACTGCGCCAATTTATTAGCAGTTGGTAAAAACATTCTCTTAATCCGATGCTTTTGTTGGTGTACTTCAAAGTATAGACCATACTTTGTTTTACTGCAAGAGGTAAGTGTATACACGTAGCTCAATTCTGTAATAGTTTTGATAACAAATGAAACCATCGAGTTTAGAAATAGCATACGTGACCTACATGACGCATCTGCCTCAGAGTTCTGAGGGTCTATGTTCAGATCTCAAATCCAGCACTCCTGTGTGAAGTTGGCACACTCTTCTTTCTCCAGTTACCAAGACACATTAAGCACATGTTCTTAGACTTAGTACCCCTATATGAATGACAGTCTCAGTGGCCATCTGCCGACGTGTGGCCTGCAATTGACTGGCAACCAGTCCAGAATGAACCCTGCCTCTCTTAAAAAAATAGTCTACCGGTATCTGTATGTAGTCAACGTAAAACCACTTTTAAAAAAGAATGTCATAATTCACAACTCTGCTTCACTGTCACACATCTTAAAAGGGTGAAATAGTTTTTGAATTTGTTGGAAGATACGTGTCAGCAAGGTCTTTGCTATTTTTGTATTAGGACAACATTTTAGGGATGATGAAAATAGTGCCTCCGTGCTATTGGAAATTGGTATATAGAGGCCAGCCTGGAAGTCATCGTCACAATATCTTATTTTAACATGAGTGAATACTACAGGTGCTGTCAAGTCAACAAATGGAAGCGTTTGCATTATTTTGGCAAGACTACAACAGCCTCCAAATTTAGAATTTGCAGTTGTTCTTTGGTCTTATGTGAGAGTAAATGAAAGTAAATCTGTATGATGTTTGGATTTGTGACTATTGATGACTCCTTACGTACTATGCTTCAGACAAAAAAATTGCAAAAATCAAACCCAAGCAAGTGTTTATTAACTAACTGAGTTTATTTACAGAACTGAAATGTATGCAGATGATCGTTTTTCTAAACATTCTCAGAACAGGAAAAGTGTTCCTCCCCAGATGATCAAAAAGAATACATTTACATTGAACTTGGCTTTGTGGCCACAAATGTTGTCAGGTGTCAAATTGTACACGGACCTAAACCGGGGGAGACTGATTACGGCACACTCCAGCTTGACATATGCCATCCCAATCCTGACTTATTAAATAAGGTGAAAGCTAAAATGGAACCCCTGCTTGGTGGTCTCAATGCCAGTAGGAGGAAGGTCATACACAGCTGAGTCTTGTCGTGTTAGACTGGCAATGCACAAGAAGAAAAAAGGCTGAGTGGAGTTTAGTATGACTGTACTAAGAAGGGAAAAAAAAATCAATACACGAGGACTAGATATTGCAAAATGGGGGGGAAAAAAAAAAAAAGCTCAAACTAGTTCAAGGTCCATAATGTCCATCCTAACAGCACTGACACGCACATAGCACAATTTCCGGCTAGAAGTGGTTAAAAAGTCATGGTGGTGTATGTGATTTGTTAAAGCAAAGGGCTCAGTTTTGGCTTTCAGTCCTATTAGCTGTGAGTTAAATCAGGAGAGCTGTTTTGTGATTGGCCAGCCCAACACTGTATCTCTATGTGGGTGTCACGTTCCACTACAGGCGATAATTATTAGTAGTTGTTAGTTGCTTTTAATTAACAGTGATAAAGGAACAAAAAGTTAAAATGAACATTAAAAATACACCATACTGGCCACAAGTAGACCTCCTTTCCTCACCCAATCCCACTGCTGTCTGATCCTTGCAACCCTCAATAAACCCCCTGTCCCCCCCCAAAGATGTGGGAACTAAGTTTCTCCGTCTTGAAAAGCTTAAAAAAGCAGCAGTTGACAGACTATTGATGTACAAAGAAAGCCAAGGTGAGTAGACCGAAACCTCTGAGCAAACAGTAGTGAGTTATTTAGGACAAAGACGAGTCATTTTACTAGAATGCGTTCGCTAATCGCCAGCAGTTTTTCCCTTTTCATTATATTCATGTTTATTTATAGCATATGTGTGCCTGTGTATGTGTGTGTTTGAATTTGACCGTATCCTTCAAATGCAAATAAAGGAGGTATTGGCAGAACATGAGGACTTGTGTTCACACTTGACTCCCGCGTGTGTCTTCACTTGACAGGATGCTGGTCGCCTCATTTGTTTCCAGCATAAAGTCTGGTCCATGACTTGGCTGGGGAGGGGAAAAGTATGAAAGGTCAACAAAAAAATTTCCAAAAAGGATTCTTCCTGCTGCAATTGATGACAAAGGATATGATAATGTAAACGTTAAAGGATAACGTGAAACGAGTTGGTCATTGCTGTAATCAACACCAGCTACAGACCAGGGAAGACATATGACTCGGATGTCCAGCATAGAAATGAACAGCATCATTATCACCCACAGACTTTTCAGATCAAGTTACAAAGCACTTGGGGGGGGGG